TAAATAAAAGTTGATCAGAGTTTCCGATATAAAAACTAGTATCGTGATGGTTTTTTTCTTTTTTTTTTTTGCAGGCTGTAGCCGGGAGCCAGACGAATCAGCAATAGCTGCGTCTAGACGAGGAACGGCAGTATGTCACTCACCGACGAAAACAATTACTACCACTGAAACAGGTTTGGCAACATCTTTATGGCGACATCCGCAGTTGGGTTATCAGCAGAACCGAGTGCAGCACAATGCTGTAGAAGCCGCATACAACGAGCACACATGGGATGAATCTCTTACGTTCGCCTCGACGAACAATCCAACGCTGGCCTTTCTTCGAACGAATTCCACTGTCCAACAGCAGCAGCAAAGAGTTTAAAGTCCGCTCCGGGAAACTTCTTAGGCACCATATTTTGTTTTGTTTATCTTCGATTCGCCTTTTTTTTTTTTTTTTTTTTCACAGAGTCATCGTCCTGACGACCCATCTGCCGCTACTGCCGTCTTGTGCTAACAATTTGCCATGCCAATTTTATTATAATCACTGTGTGTTATAAAAAAATATATGTTTAATATCCCCTCCTTATGTCTTCTGTAGGAAAAACGGAGGCACTCGGAAGTTAGCTGAGCTGTAGCGAATGCTAGCTACAGTTACCCCCCCCCCCTTTCCCCCGGATAAAGGGTGCCGATGGGTTGCGCTTTCGAGGATTGCCTTGAAAATAAACTTATGATGGGTTTGACTCACTATTGGCTTATGCCAACAACCACTGCTCATCAGAACTACTGAGCTCTGAAGGAACAACTGATTGTCCCACCAGCGGAGTGGAACCCTCATTCGTCTGCACGACAGTAGTATTTCTTCCTACTGAGCCACGCTGTCTGCCAAATATATTTTGTAAATGTATAACATTTGTATTTGCTGCATTTGATGGCGCACCCAGTCCTCTCTAGTTCTTTCCCTTACCTTCGCTGCAAGTACTGCTACACAATTTTGGCCTCCGCTGCGACTGTTATAGTGAGCAAGTCTGGTCGTTGATGCAAGTACGCTTGCGTAGTCCCCGTGTGGCAACAGCTCAGTTCCAGCTCTGACTTCTTTTTTTAGCACAAATTCAAACTGATTTCATTAGCCCCAAATTTCCCCAAAATTCTAATAATTTAAAATCCTCAGGTTCATCTGTCTTATAAAAACATTGGCTCATCTGAGCAATCTGCTCTCAGTAGCAAAGCGCAGAGGTGTCCACCGGCGTGTGCCGTTTTGTGTGCTTCCCGTTTGATTCCTCAAACGGACGTTCAGGGTGAAGGAATGAGCTGTGATGATCGACCTCTTCAATCTCACCGTTTCTTATATTGACCGTTTGCTTCCATCTGAGTACGCCACTGATTGTCAGGTAATTAATTTTATGAAAATTTTGTGTTTTGTGTGAGCGTAGATTTCTGCGGAATGTTTTGTTTGCGACCCCTCGATTATTCGCTGGCGGATTTGTTGTTTGTTTCTTTTTAGCGTTAAGTTTGTTTTTTTTTTCTTTCTTACTTCGTCAAAGTGCTTATCATGTTCACGGTTCTAAAAATACTGGTTTTTTTTCTTGTCCATCTTTCTCGGTTCCAACAAATGGCTATTGTTGCTGCTAATCCGGTTTTGTCGCGTCTTTTTTCTCGCTGCATTCAGACAGGTACTACTGGCATATAGAACTGGTTGTGTTTTGTTTCTTGTGTAATAGCTTGTCTGTAATAATGTCTTTTTTCGAAGATACTTGTTTTACATGTACTTTTTCTTTACTTTTATCGTTACACACTTTGCTGTAAGAATAAATGCATAGCTTGTAAAATATTGCGAAAAGAAAGATTTGTTTACGCAAGCTGGTTTCTCTGGATCCTCATAGTTTCAGTTCTTTCGTCAGATACCTTTTCACAGCATTCCAAATGGAGCATTTTACGGGATTGTTAGATTTCTCAACAGTTTAGGTCTGTCCAACTTCCTTTATGTACTTATCTGGTTTTTTTTTAACACTGACACGCAGGAATATGTTGTTTGTTTTTTAAATCCAGTTTATCGCAGCAATGGTTTGTGTTTTCCCAGGATAATCCTCAACTCACAGTTTGTCTTTTTTTCATGTTAGTTTGTTGCAAAAAAGTATTGTTTACCCCAGAAAGCATGTTTTGTTGTTTGCGCCATGAATCTTCGTAGCGTCGGATAATTGTTGCTACCTGAGAAAATTCCGCCGGTGCTACGTCTATCTCAAACGTGGATCCGGTCCATTATTAAAGCAGTTGGTCGGTGTTGTTCCTCTCTCTCTTCTTTTTTTTGTTGCGCGAAATGAAAAACCTGTGAAGTAAAGTGTTACTGTTGCTTATGTAAGAAACTGCAAATGAAACGATTCTTGTAGATGGATAGCTCCGTGGATTCGGGAAATGAAAAGTTAATTTAACTGGCGGAGAGGTTGATCCGTTTTCGGAATTTGGCCTCACTGAGCATTTTGGTCGGCAGTAGCACGGTGGGTGTTGATTTCGCTCTCACGGGACATATTTGAAGGTGATTTAAAGCTTGGTTGGCCTTTCGGATAATTAATATGTCTCGAAAATCTCGTGCCCAGTTTCGAGTCCTCCAAGAGTTATAATACTCAAAACAGTCCCTTACCAGGATATAATGCTGAAATTTGCACTAGGTTTTTTGACGGTAGATTTTACTTGTATTTGTTATCTATTTATAGCCAACAGGGCCGGCCACGGAGGAGCATGGTGTGCAGTTTGTGTGGTTTTCTAAAATCTTAAGACGTGGCCTCGTCGGTGGGATGTGCATGTGTGTTCCTTGTTTTCCAGCTACCGAAGTAGAATTATATTTGCAGAATCTCTTCTTCACAGTTTGAACTCGTGCTGAGCCAACTTCTTGCCAAGTACCCGTACTTTTCGCCTTTCCTGGATCACCGTAGTCTTTCATGCACCCAAGCTCAGTGATTCGCTTGACTTCTGTTCCCGCCTTGACGTTGCTCCTGGCGCTTTATGTTACACACCACCATTGCAATTGTTACTGTATGGGATGTTACGCCGCTGCCAAACATGATCTTTTGCGGAAGGCTTTTGCAGATGAAATCTTGCTAGTGATATCCATCGATTTAAAGCACTCCGTGGGAGAAGTTTTACTGGGGCATTGTTCGTCTTCGTAAACTGCCTCTCCTCTCTTGTTTCACTTGCTTCCAGTTAAATCTGTGGTACTTCCAGGGCTTTTTTGCCTTCCTGACCCATTTTATGCCAAATTTGAGGGGGTGGTTCGGCTGACTAATTCTTTTTGATGCTAATCTGATACTCGTCCAGCTTGCATCTTCAGTTTACATTTTCCTAACATAGTCATCAGTCTGCTGACCAGAAGCGAAGCGAACTTGAATAAATGTTTTCTTGAGCTGTCAAGCGACTTCTCGATGTGTGCAAAAAAGAAGTTGAGCTTGGCACGATTTGGAAGAATTTTAACACCGTTACTCATTGGGGGGAAAAAAGTGGCGAGAGATAGAGGATTGTTGAAGAAATTGGGTTTATTGCTACCAGAAGTCTGTCGTTCTCCTGAAGTATTTTCTGTTACATTTGCCTGTTGCTTTACGGCATACTTTGTTCAAACATCGATTGCCACTCTCGAAAAGAATGCAGTGCAGCATTCACGTGAACTTACACTGTTGTAATTCACATACATAGCCATAACAGCTGATGTTAACTGAACGAGCTCGATAAACGCACAGTGACGGGCACAACAGTGAAGAACGAAGAGGGACGTGGCAGACACGTTGGCAGCAGTGATGACATCAGCTGGGGAAATGCTCGACAACACCAGTTTTCAGCACAAAAAACGAAAATGAACTTGGATTGTTTTGGATGGCAACGGCTAAGGAAGCACTGAGCTCCCGTTTAGGACAGGAAGAAGCCCTCGAGGAATATGCTGCTCGTAGTGTCTCGTTCAATAATGAAACAGACAGCGTAATTCGTGACCAGTAATACTACCGCCGTCGAGATTCGACGCATAAATTTCGGAGAAATTGACGACAAGCTCATCCTACGACAAATGGTATCGGCCGGCGGGCCTTGTTATAGGCTTCCACATCTTTCTGGATTAGCGCATACGCGTGATACGTGTGTTTGCGTTTGGAGGCTTGTGATGAAGCAGTCTGGTGAGTACGAAACTGATCTCGTAGAAAACAAAGGCGCTGTAGGGTGTAGAAGAAGTGGACAGCTCCCTCGAAATTTTCGAATGTTAGTGACCAAAGCAGTGATGAATAGATTCAAAATGTGGTCACTGACAAAATTGGAGGAATTGACGATGGAAAGGGCGGATCGTCCACTACGCATGATTATTGCAAAAAAGTAAAACGTTCTTGACGGCTTACCAATCCACTTCGAGCTATTCGATAGTTTATGAACTGTGGGCGGGATATCGTCTGCTATATTCCTGAATCATAATGTCGTCAGACCTCGTAGATCTTACTGGTGTTCGTCTGTTGGTCACCAAATTAATTCCATTTTTTAGAAATGTTAGACGTCATCGTCAGTCGATTAGCTTTCCAGAATTATTTGTGGTTCTATTCCGGCTCTTGTACAATAGTAAATAAATAGCAGCGCACACCAGAATTGTCGGTGCAATCATGCGTTGCGAACGATTGTCTGTTAATGATTTTCACTGCTTCGTACTTTGGCCTGTGCAAAAATAGTTCAAATGTTGGAAAATAGTTAAAAATTTCTTGCATCGCTACATGAAAGCTGAATTTGAAATCTAGAAAGGTAAATATCCTTCCAAAATTTCAGTCTCCTAATTTTCTTTGAGATAAAGCTTTTATGTGTTCGTACGTGAGATCTCGGCATAGTTAGGAAATGAACTCGAGTTTTTGAAGCCTCTGATTAGGCAGGAAATATTTTCCTGAAGTTTTCGGCCCCATAACTCTTCTGGCTCCCGAGATAATGATTTTTTCGCCAAAACTTCCACAAGGACGTTGAGGATTCGCGGATTTGTATGTGGGCAGGGATGCCACATTAAAATTTCAGTTTTCTGGCTTTTGCAGTTCACGAGATAATAATTTCCCTGCCAAAACTTCCACGACGCCGCACGTGTACCCAGGAGCGCGTGAAGGCTGGATCTAATTCCGCGTGGGTCCTGTACTGATGAGAGACATCGCCGTAAAATTTCAGATTTCTAACTTTCGTAGTCCCCGAGATAATAATTTCCTCGCCAAAAATTTTTCGGAGCTGTACGTGTATGCGCAGGCAAGGGAAGGCTGAATTTAAATTCTCAGGATCGCACGTGGGCTGGGACATGCCCAAAATTTCAGCTTTCCTGTGATAATAGTTTTATCCGCCAAAACTTTTAAGGGGCCATACGTGCTATCACCGTGTACGGGAAGGCTGAATTTAAATTTGCGGGGTCACACGTGGATGGGAGACACTGCTCTAAATTTTCAACATCCTAGCTTTTGTGGTTTTCGAATTGAAAGTCGCGGACAAGTTGCTGCGGGCACGCACATACAAATGCACACAAACACACATACACATAGACAACCCCGTGACAATATGCGTTTTGTGCAGCTGCTGCACAGCACAAAACACATAATAAATAGTTTGTGGGCATAGCTGTCATAGACTATACTTAATCGTTCTGATGCAAGGCAAAAATACTCCACGAAAACGTATGTTCATGCCGATTCGTGTTTATTGTTTGCTCGATCACTCGCTGTAACAGCGAAATTTCCGAAATGCAGAAATAACCGGTACGTTTTAGAAAAGTTTTTTTTTTTTTTTGTAGGTTTGCAAAGGAAAAAAAAACCTCCAAAAAGCAAGCAAGAAAATGCGGTACTGTGTTACGATGGGAAGAGGAATGGAGCCGTTTGTTCGGGAACAGCTGACACGCATACCGGTAAATTGCTCGTTTCTGTACTAATGGAAATAGCTTATTAACTTATGATCCAGTTCTCCATTTAAGTAGCTGTGGATTTTTACAGTTCCAGTGAGCGAATAGTTTGTTACCGATTCTGACTTTGTTTCGTTCTCTCTGGGGATTGCCAACCCAGCGGTTCTTTCGACAGAAGCATTTAACAAGGTATTAACCGTCCCAGGATATGCTTGTTTCGTGTTGAAAATGTTGCTCTAAATGTTGCTCATAGACCATGAAGGCGGCACCTCGACCAGAAGAAACTGCTTGTACGAAGTGTTTTTTGACCGTTGGTCACACTGGCTACTTTCAGAGAAAGTTTTTGTGTCGTATTTTTGAAAAAAAGCCGATTTTTGTTCAGTCATTGACTTACGCTTAAAAAGAGTGCGTAACATCATTTCTTCGTGATGGAGCGATTCCTCGTTGTGAAATGAATTGAAGATTTACAGAACTGCTTAAAATTCTGAAAACTTCTAGACGACCAGCACTCCAAGTTTATCGTGCTGAGTTAGAAAATTTGAAAAGGGCAGTATCCGAAGTTATCCAGTTTTATCTGTGCCTAAATTACAGTGGAATTTTCACCGAATTCCTCCCATTTTAACACATTTCTGAGTCGAAGCTCATCTCGTTGTTTGACTTTTTGCTGAAATGCTTTTAGAGAACAAATGCTTCTATTTTTTAAAGAAAGCAAAATTTTCTACGCAGTGATGTTATGTCTAAAATATACCGAAACAGTTTGAACAGCTTATTGTAACAAACGATATGTGGGATTTTTTAAAACTTTTAAGAATTATATATTCATTAGCGACATTTCCTTTTTCTTACGCTTGTCTTGTATAAGGCGTAACTTGGTAGTTTGTGGAATTTCAGAATTCAACGATTGAAAAAATTCTGGAAGGTAAAATACTGTTCGAAGTAAACTGTTTTGTCGAACCAAATACTCTGCGATGTATGGAAAGATTATTTTTGGTTATAGCATATGAAGATATTGACTGCAGTTTAAACAAACGACGTAATTTTCTTTCAGAACAACTTTTTGCCAAAATCTCTATTCAGTTGTTTCATAATTTGCCAGAAAATCCTGTTATAATTCACTTTCTACGGGCGACAGAGACATTCGAAAGTAACTCGAATGGTAGCCTGTATTAACAGATGTTATGTCTCTGACGGCAAATTATCATTTAAAAAAATTTTAGAGCTTTTCGATAAATTGTTTGGTTTCTTCCGCGCCGATTCGCTAATGACGGCCTGTGAAGAAGCTTTTGCATTTCTTATCCTGGATCAACAATCCGAAAGTAAAGCCTTTCGTGTGTCGCTAAAAACAACTGGCAAATGGCGTCGCAGGATTTATTCAGATGTAAGTGATATTTTCAAGTCGATGGCAAGCAGTTTTTTCAAGGGAGCTAATTTAATTTCTATATAATTATTACTTTTTTGTTCATTTTAATACTATGCATTGTACAGAAACTATCTGCTAGCATTGCGCAGTATATCAAACGAGCAACAGGGCTGAGAAGTTCACTCCATAATGCTACTCTGGAGATATGTATTCATGTTACTGAAAAGTATATTTTTGTCGGTATCCCGCTAACACGGTTAGTAATTCTGCTTTCAGGATAAACTATGCTTCTTGTATTTGGAGAGGAAATAGAGAAAATCCACTAAAAAGTGATCAAAACGCCTTGTTCTATTGTGGAAATACGTAGATATGACCCGTTACAAAGTCGCTCGCTTGCAAAACTTTGACTGCTTTTCCCGGATTTCTGAAAGCTAGAAATTAGTTTAATATCTTTGTCACTATAGAGCATGTGCATCGCGATGAACGAATTCACTTCCGTCCCCGGATCCGACCGAATCGGCATTCTGGAGCAATCAGAATGACGGCACCTATGTTCACAGCATTTAAAAACACTGAAGTCAAATGACATAAGCGAAATTATAAATTAAACTGATGTGCATCAGAGCGTTTTACCTGAACTGTTTTATGCCTTTGCGAGGTTTTAACTAAAATTCGCCTTGATTAGAAGCAAAAAAATTTTTTTCTCGCGCTGGATTTCGCTCAGTTCATTATGGCGGATAGAAGATACACTGAGACTCCTACTGATGCGGGAAAGTCCAATAAATTAATTTTTTTTTGCGTGCTACCGGCAGCAGTTGCAACGTGTATTTCTTATGTAATTTCTTGTAGGAAGCCTTTGTCCCTAAGGTCTTATCTATCCGATAATGCACTTCGTTCAACTATTGCTGATGCAATGTTACAACTTACCGATATACAAGTTGGCGACGTTGTTCTAGATCTGACTTGTGGTTCATCCTCCATACTGCTCCAAGCCGCGCACGATTTTCCCGACAAAGTAAAGCGAATTTTTTTTTTCTTTTTATTTCTTTTCCCGCGGCAATTTGATGATGTCGTGAAAAATTTCATTTCATCGCTGAAAAGCATCGGTAGCCGTAGTAAGACAGTTTGGCGTAGTAACCAGGTTCCCGCGTTTAAAAGCGGTCAGTAAACTGGTATAGACACTTTTCCAGAAAATTTTTACTGAAGCCGGTTTCACTGTTAGTCAAGATGCTTTCTTGGGTAGACATGATTGGCTTATCATGCTATTTTCTTTAACACTTTAATTTGAGAACGGGATGGGACATATTCGAACTTAGTGAGCAACGGAAAGCCAAAAATTACCATCAGCTTTAACTTTTTGCCGTCTTTGGTTGGATTTTTCCTCGCAGTGTTTGAATTTTACAACAGTATGCCGGTGAATCTTGCATTCCGGGACTAATTTAAGCAGTTTTTTTTGTTCTGGGTCGATAAATTTGTCGCGTGTAAATTGCAGAACTAGGATTGCCAGTTTCTGATAGTTACAGTACTGGATAAAATACATAGTGAAGAAATGTTTTATTAGGCATTTTTGCTGGGAGCAGATTACTGCTGGAATGCCTTGCAACTTTCGCTGAGCAACCGAGATCATTTACGAAAGGCCGACAGTTTGGAACCTCTAATGGATCTACTATGCATGGACTTGTTTAACGGTATGGCCACTTTCTAACACAGTCCGCAGATAGAAATAACTGACGTAGTTTGACAGATTCTGTGTAATTCTGAGGAAAGAATTTCTGCAGAAATGTGTAAGTCACCCCTTTCCGAAGTAAAATCGATTATACCCTCATAGACAAACGAAAATGGCCATAGACATATCCATCATGTTGTAGTCAGCTGTTCTTGCATTATTGACTTCTGAGAATCAGAGCCATAATTGATTTCTAGAATGATACACAGACTCGCAAAAAAGTCTGTTGTTGCGGTCCAAAGCAGCTGGTTATTGATCCTTTCCTACAAGCGGTTGAAAGCAGGAACTGAAATATTACAGCAAATAATATTGACGCAAATGAGACATCACAGCAAATAGCATAGCTTTTTTTGAAAAGCTGAAGGAATGCATAGCTGTTACTCACTAAATGTCTTCGTAACAACTCCGTCTGGGCATGTAGTTTTTTTTTTGAAAGAGGCGAAAAATGGTAGCTCCTGTAATACGTTAATAAAAAACAGGCGATGGTACACATGCGTCAAGCACGCGATGGATTCTGGAGATATGCAGCCCAGGATCGAACGGCCTGGCATATTTCGCTCCGGCGTGTGGGAGCATTCTAATAACATGACTAACAAGGGACCCGCACTAATAGCCTGAGCGATCTTGGTATTCTTGGTGGATGATAAGCGTCTGTTCTCTGCCCAAAGAGCTATGCCGACGAATAGCAGGAAGGAGCACAATTTTTTTAGGCTGAAACTTCCTTACGGAGCATCCTGTCGTGCGGCAACCTTTTAAGTGCTTTAAGAAACTGATCGGCGTTGAAAATTCAGCAGCAAAAAATTTCGGATTGGTTTAGTTTTCTAACTGAACAAACGGTGTTATTAATTTCTTTTTTGTTTGCAGTGGATTTGTTCTTAATTGCTAGAATTTCTAATCCTTCAGAGTGTTTCAAATTCAAAGCGATTGATCATATTGTGTCGGATCTGCCATTTGGACAACAGCACGGAACAAACGAGTCTGCTCTAAGGATACTTCAGCATATCTGCGACATCTTTTCAAAGTAACGGTTTAATTAGACTTTTGAAGAATGCTCATGATGTGCTTCCACAGATAAGTCGAAATTCCAATTATTTCAGAGAGGGTAAGCAGACTGGGTCATTCGAACTAGTAATGCCTGCGGTGCTACTTATATTCAAATGTCAACCAAGCTCATTTATCCCCGGTCCGCCTTCTGTCTTTGACTCCAGTTACTGAGCTGCTTTCTGTTTTTGCAAAACTGTGACTGTCTCTAAATCCTCGTTCAAAAAGTGAACTTACGGACTACAGAGTGCATTAGGGAGCCGTTGTGGTGGTGGGTTTTTTTCAATAAGCAGTTTTAAGCATTCAGTAACTATTCATTAAGTACAGAATTTTATTGTACTCATCATGATGGTCTTGTTTATATCCAATTTATCAAAAGCTCTTCAGTTTCAAAGTAATTATTATCAGTCGGTACTTGCAATTGCTTTTAGACAATAGGAAATAATACGGTTTGAAATGTGGTTACAAGTCATGCATCCGGTTTTACGGCTTCCACATTCACTGTTTGTAAGAGGCGAAAGCACTCGGAAATAATCCAGTTGGTACCAACATCAGCTATGGCGAGGCTTTCGATGGCTTCCTCATTCTTGGGTTGCTTAGAAGCAATATGCTGACGGATTTTATTTCTTGGCATATGTCAGTATCAATTTACCATCGAACCACGTAAACAGGTCGACTTGGTTATCCCACTGGCGGAGTTTATCCCACGACTCACCAGCGCTGCATTTTTTTTTTCGGTTTTTTCAAGAGTGTAAGAATAACTGACTGCTTGCATGCTTCATTCTGTTGAGTAAGATCGCAAATTCTTTGCCATTTACTGTGTTGGAATTAGAAGGCAGGCAAAAGTTCTTTTTCGAGAAGACACTGCCGAAAAAGAGTTTAGCAGCAGAATTCGAATAGATTTTCAGAATCTCTTATGCAAAATTTTTGCAGTGATTAAAGGGCTCAGAATTACAGCCAATGACAATATTTTCGGCTGAGTGCACAAATCTAGTCAGAAGGTCGATAAAGTTTGATCACTGATGCGAAATTTACCTGAAAAGCTTGAAAAATAGAGCAGATGCTGTGTTTCTGACGCATCATCATCTCGAACAAGAAGCGCCTTGTTTAGATGCTAGCTTCCGAATGTGCCACCAACTTGTTTGGTTGTAGTGTCTCTGCACAAATATGCAAGTGAAGCAAAATATTTCAGTGTATTAGGATTCCTGAACAAATATCGTTTCTGTAGCCGGGCTGAACAAATATCAAGTGAAACGGGAAAAAGACCAGAGCGGGGCAACCGCAAAGTACAATGTCAGTCACACGGCACATGCGGGTTTCAATTGTGTAGATACCTTAAGCGAAGAGTCATGGGCAAGGAAAAAGGAGAAGGGTATGGACAACTAGAACCGCAAAAACTTGCAAAATCTTTAGCTTTCCAATCCCCACTTGCAAATGTGGCTAATTTTCCAACAAATATTTTTTAGCCTTTTGCTTTTTCGCAGGAGCGAGAAGGGCAACGCAGACGGGGAGTGAAAGGGGTTCTAATTTTTAATGGGCACAAAGAGGTCGGGTTAAAAATGCTAATTTCTAGGGTGAATAAAATTTTGTTCCTTTGAAATGATCTTGACCGGAGCACTGCAAGGCCAGAAAGAAGCTGGCAGCTGGTCAGTGGTGCTCGAATCGATATAAGCTGCACGCGGACCGTCGTAGTTTGAATCGATTGTGGGTGGAATGGAGTGGCATGGAACAGGGTAGTAAACTAAAAGAAGCCAGCTTATGCATTATGCAGTTGATTGGATGTCTTGAAGCCATGTGCGTGCCGTCTTGGTGCGCATTTCCGGATCAAATTCCAGGAGATAGGCCTTCGTCCAAAAGTTTCTTTGATAGCTAATTCATTCATAAGCAGTTTGTACGTTGCCTGTTCAGCTTCCGATGAAAAGTGCTTACTTGCTAATTATTTTAGTGCTTTAGGGCACTGCATTTTAAAAATGCATATAAAAAAAAAAATTCCGGGAACATGTAAAAAAAAAAATTCCGGAAAATCTCGTCCAAATATTCAGAGCGCCAAAATTTTTAAAATTAGCGTCACAGTAAAATTTTTGGAGAAATCTGTGTGGTGAGGTGTCCTGTTACTGTCCATTTTACCGTCACTATGCTACACATTTTGTTCGGCGATGTTATGCGTAACTGGATGGAGAAATGCATAAATTAGGCACGGGATCAGATGCCGTTCTTTTAAGAGAATGGCAGATTTTGGATAGCGCCTCTCTTTTTCTAATTTATGGAATGAAGATGCAGTTAATTAATAGTCTTTTCTTTTTTTGGAAAAAAACAACCCGTATTCTCTGAATAACACGAAATGATTGGTCAGAGTTTCAGTTGTTCAGGCTAACCCTCCTTAATGTTACTTTTTATTAATACTTTCCTGAGCTGTTATTTATCAAAAATATATTTTCGCTCCATTTTTGCCTCTGATTTCCCGTAATTATATTATGGCTGAAGCAACATCATCATGCTGGCGATCTGCAAGTAATCGTGATGATCATTCCTCCCTTTTTTCTCGTTCACTCAGAAAGGGTTGCCAAATTTGTCACGTTTTCTCACCGTCTGCTTGATCATTCAGCTTATATTAGCATTTTTTGTCAAAAAAAAGTTTTCGGCCGAGGCCAGCATGCATTTCAAAATGAATTCTTTGATACGATTAATAACAGATGCGGTAGCAGTTCCACGGCAGTACTTTTGATCTCGGCGGCACATATGACATCGATAAGCAATATGGTTAAGTCACCAACTTGCCTCAAGCAGCACTATCCAGTTTCGCTTGGTACCACTGCAGCTGTTATCGTTCATCTTACCAACAGTATCATCGACGCGCACTAAATTAGGTTGTTTGCATGGAATTTTCATTGTTTGTATATTTATTAATGAAATAAATTGGCCATGATGCAATGGTGATAAGTATCACCACTCTTCTGCTGGAGCTGGAAGGTTCGGCTGTGTGCCCACTGGGACAAACAAGCCCTCACCGATTCGTTCACTCGTTTCGATGGTAAATTTTGTACCGTTATATGCTGGGAAATCGCCGTCAACTTTTTTCCAAGCAAAAAAGGGAGCTATTTCATGGCGAGCGCTTGCCGTTGTAACCGTACGTATTACCATTCGGACTACTTCCGAGTGCCTCAAACAATGAGTGACAACGGTACCTTGCATTTACTGGCAATGTTCGCATCTCGGTTTCCCTTCTTGATTTCGATGAATGTCTGTGAAAGTGCTTTACCACATTTTGGCAGGGCGCCGGCTGAATCGTCCCGGATTATTTCCACAGCGCAGCCTGAGATGCATTTGGCTGCTTTGCATTTAACATTGCTATTTCTTTTAATGCAAATTATGCGAGAAGAACAATTCTTTCGCCGTGAACCGACTGCGTGGGAATGTGGTGCTCGACTATCGGGGTCCGTGTGTTGCGCGGCGAGCAATTTTTTTGTGCTTCGAAGGGCCACCCTAAGAGTTCCTGATTTGTTACCTCATTTCAACTGAACAGTGCTTCGTTAGTGAGTGTGCTGGACGGATGCAGGCAGTTCGGGGTAGGGGCAAATTCTTATCAGTGTTTGGCTGCTGTCAGGAAAGTGTTGATCAGAACAGGCCGTCTTGTCTGCGTCTGTTTGCCTTAGAGCGAATTGTGGGTGGGTGTAGCTGCTGGTTTCCGTCTGCAGTGTGAGGGATCGAGAACAGAATTTTGGATGCATACAACTATGGATCAGTGCCTTAAGCGGTCCTGTTCACTGTCTTAGGCGAACACTGTGTAGCAAGTGATGTTCGTTGCTTTTAAAATTGCGCGGATTTAATTTTCAAACTATAAAAGTAATAATAATAACAATAAACTTGTTAATGGGAAATAAAGTAGCGTAATAAACTGAAAAGGCGAAACTGGAGTCGCTAGCTTCTCTTAGCGCTATGAATGTGTCTGCTCCACATTTTCTTTTTTCCCTTTTAACGATCGTCCAAATGACGACTAACTTTATATCGAGATATTTTTAATCATCATCAGTTTATCAGATTTTTATTCATTGGTCCAAATTTCGATCTTTTGCACTGAAACTCTGAGGTTCACTGTTCTTTTTTACCAGGTTACATCTTCTTTTATTTCCTGGCATTTGCCGCGTACGACATTTGCCTCTTAGCGATTCCTTCGCAAGACAACTGCGGTTAATTCAGTTCGCTTTAAAAAAATAGCTGGTGTTTGAGAAGCAAATTAAATGCGTGCTGCTCATAATTGGTGTTCTTTCAAACAATAGTCGTTTGCAGCCACCAGCTTCTTAGTGTCAAGCATGACTTTCGATGGTTTTAAAGTGTAGCACCATGACCAGCACAGTTTTTTCTCCTTGACTGGCTAACTTGAAGCTTTTTGGCTTTTGCTGTCTGGGCCTCGGCTATCAAAATGCAGTGCGGCCTTTTGAACTACTGAAAGGCATCAAATGTGAATTCGGTCCTTGAAGGCAATCCAATCCAGTCCAGTGTCGCTTTCGTACAATACGAAATGTGCGGTCAGTAACTGTGTGAGAATACCGTGAATATATTAGTATTTTAGCCGCAAATGCTGCACCGATTGCGGAACTGTGAGGTTTTTAAGAATGGATGTCGGCTATAAGTGGGCATTTGTCACGTGGACCACCGGCTAGCCAAAATACGTCCCAAACGGTGTAGTGCCGTTTATTATAAGGTCAAGAAAGCGTACCTATTTCTCCCAGTGCAAACGTACTGAGATGATAACAGCCATAGATGAAATGCATGTTCACTGGCAAAAGTTAAGCTGAGAGAAGCGCTTGAAGTGTATCTGCGCAGTCATATAGAAAATGAATTACCGCATTAGATGGAGTGATTGCAGTTCGTCACTGACGTAGAATTCACTGTGTGTGCAATGTTGTTTGCTGTTACTGGCATCGATAAACGTTATACTTCAGTAAACGATACTCGTGGAAAATGAGGAGGTCACCCGGGTGGT